ATCTTGCGGTTTATGTACAATAAACAGATAGACGTTGCTAATCTGTATGGACACACCTTGTTCTTATTCATAATAGATTAGGGACTAGAGCAAAGGTCCTACAGATTGCCGTGATCAATCAATTCGAACTACGTAGAAGGAATAATTCCATGGTTTGCTTTCGAAAACCTTAGATTGTAGTCAGGTAGAGACTTCATACTACAAGTCGATCGGCAGGGGTAATATGCAAAAAGAAAAATTTTTCTAAATAATTTTTAATCTGTCTTTAACTTGTCTTGTCATATTTTATATAATTTTAACCATTGTACCATGTATCCAGCTCTCACCATTTACTGGACGTTTCCCTCATCCTATACGAAAACAACAATTAGCAACATCCTCACAAACTACTCTCCTGATGATGATGGCAAAGTCCATTGAAAGCTAGAGAGAATTGAAAAAAGTATAAAGAGTCCTCTTTGTTTAAATTTTGTCGAAGTACCCAACAAAAGGCGGAAGCTTTAATTGTTCACCTATATATATATATATATATATATTGAGACGTGGTCATTGTCGTCTAGACCAGTTAGGTGAAAAATTAAAGCTTCCGCCTTTTGTTGGGTACTTCGACAAAAATTTTAAGCAAAGAGAACTCTTTATACTTTTTTTATTCTCTCTAGCTTTCAATGGACTTTGCCATCATCATCAGGAGCTGCAATTACATTGATAAAAGTAGCAACAATTGTGTAAAGTGAATTTAAATTAGCTTACAGTAGTATGTGAGGATGTTGCTAATTGTTGATCAGATTATGCAGTCCTTTGAACTGTCGAATTGCTTGCAAATCCGTCCTCACTATAAACTGCATTTTTTCAAAAATGAAAGACAGAGTCCCGCTGCTTGGCTTAACCAACACAGTCTACTCTACAAACCATTCCGAAAGATAAATGTTATATTTTTATGCGAAAAACAAAGGTTACGTCTTTTTCTTCTAAACAAATTCAAGCATTTCGTATTTGTGAGTAAGTGAACAATTGCGTTGCGATATTCGAAAAAATACATTACTGCACACATTTTAAAACAAAGCGATCTTTTGTTGAGAATTACTGACAAATACGAAATGTTTGAATTTGTTTAAAAGAAAAAACGTAACGCATCCTTGATTGCATAAAAATAAAAGTTATCTTCCGGAATGGTTTGCGATTCATATCGACAAGATAAACTGGTGTATTTTGCTAAAAATTGCAGGATTGACAGCGCGCTCACGAATTTTATCATCGTCACTGCATTCTATTTAGATTACTCTTCAAAAAGAGAGCTGAAAAAAAGAAAGAAAGCAAAATGCCTCTAAAAGCCGCATTTGTTTGATATATATGCTAATATGCCCACTCGCTCTGATTCCGCTTGCATCACACAAAAACTTTTCTATTTACATTTTAATTTTTCAGCCATACAATCCTCTTGAGTGTATATTTATCTGCGGAAAAATCGAGAGCAATATTATTCCCTTGCCAGTAGCTATCTCAGTTTTCCAATTTGAAATACTTTTATAATGCATTAATGTGGGTGAAATGGGAGAAAATTCCCTCATATTTGACCTTCAGTGATCCCTCAAGGTCAAACTACCACTAACGCTGGATGTCGATAACTCCTTGGAAATGCATTTTAGGAGCAAATGTTCCGTATAAAAGTTGGAGGATTCTTCCTCGGTTATCAGAAAATGACCTTCGATCCGATCTTGACCTTGACCTTGGAAGTTATTTCAAGGTTATCTTGAAAATTTTCAAAATAAACCTTTATTTTTGACTCCGGCAATGGAACGCTCACAAAATGTCAGTTTAAATATGACCTTGAATGACCTATACTTTTCATTCTGGTGATAAAACAAGCGAAATTTCTTACCTTAAAACATGATCTAGGATGACCCTGATATTTGAACTCGAGTGATCTCTCAAGGTCAAATTATCACCAAAGCTGGATATCGACAACTCTTTGGAAATGATTCAGATGAAAGTTGTAGGTTTTTTCCTCAAATATCAGAAAGTGATTTTCGATTCGTTTCGATCTAGACCTCGACCTTGGAGGTTATTTGAAGGTCAACTTCAAAAGTTTAAATATAAACTCTTTTTTACCCTAGCATTGAAACAAGCACAACATTTGAGTTCAAATATGACCTTGAATGAATCAGATTTGACCTTGGATTACCAGATGTGACAGAAAGGAATTGAAATTGTGTACCAGTGCATCATGTAGACCTATAAATTGTAAAATTAAAGAACCTAAGAATTTGGTAGACAGTAATCTTCAAGGTCCAACTACCACTATTTGGCCGGGGCTCTTAACCTCGCCTTAGTTTGCCGGGGGTCATTCGAGGTCAAATACTGGGGTCAAAATGTTTCGCTCGTTCTATGGTCGGTGTCGTAAATAGCGGTCTACAGTTAAAACTTGGACGTTGACTCTCAAATACCCTTAAAGGTCAAGGTCAAGATGAAATCCAAGACTACTCTCTTATAGCTAAGGATATGAACAATGTTGCCCTTATATGCATTACCGAAGAATTATCGATATCCAGCATTAGTGGTAGTTTGACCTTGAGGGATCATTCAAGGTCAAATATGAGAATCATTCAAGGTCATGATTTAGCGTAAAGGTTGCGGTTGTTTCATGGCATTCACGGATGAAAACAACTAGATGTGTCTAGTGAAACTAGAAACCTCTACATTTGATACGTCACAAGGTTTGACACCGACTAGACTACTAACACAGGGTGAAAAGTTCATTGGATTTCAAATGTCAAGAAAGACTCGTGGTGACACACTGTGTGCAGTCGCACGCTATTCCTAACCTCTACTGGACTGAGAATATCTTAAATCAAGTGAATTCCACATTCCGGCTGACACCAGTTGCTAAACGGACCGAATAAACTTCGTAGATTCGAGGGATTTTTCCGGTCTTTTCCTTTCGCTTTTCCAAGCTTTAGGAAGGTTTCCTTCACATATGCTGCCGTGCATAAATGCGATGGGCGAAATTCCTTTCGGTTACTTGAATATGTATTTTCTCGGACTAGAGACGGTCAAGGGAAACCGGCACAGACCTTTTTTTCTAGTTATCGGGATATCGAATGGGATAAATTTCCGAAAAATACGAAGTTATTTTCATATTAAATTACTTAACCCCGAATTTCAATTACTTCTAGCTATGTACAGGGTGTCCCAAAAGTGTTGGAGCAAGCGAAAGGGTGTGATACGGGACATTTGCAATCAGAAAGCCCATATACATGTCTTTAACCCACTGTTCACGGTTTTTAAGTTATCGCCATTAGTTAAACGTTTTTGGAAAATCGCTGCTTTCAAGAGTGTACTATTTTTCTTATGCTATTTTCCAATCAGACTCACAGGATATATTGCCAAATGATATGTCGCTGGAAAAAAGCTATAAGTGAAAATTTAGTCCAGTTTCTGTAGGTACAAGTGGCTAATCTGCAATTTTGTCTACTGTCGAAATGATTGCAGGGTAAAGTTTTCATAGTGATAAAAATCCCTTATTTAACATGCTTTTATTTGCTTAGCCTGTATGTATTTGACGGAATCTTTGAGCATAATTTTCACGTATTTCCGGAAGCTTAATTAATTTGAAACTTCGCACACGTAGTAGTTGGTCGAACAGTCAATCATAATTAATGATCTCAAAATAAAATTCTAATAAAATTAAAGTTATTAACAGAATGGTTCGATTCAGAGTGAAAAGCGTGGGGTGCATTTTATTACATTTTCATAACTCGCCTCTCATAGATAATTGCCAATAGAATGATTGTAACATTTAATATATTAAGCTCCCCACGCCCAACTAACAATTATCACTCCTATTAGAGTTGCAAGAATGATTATACAGTATTCCTTACACAGCATTGTATACTGTAAGAACAATGGCAAAACCCTCTTAGAACAGCTATACAAGCGGAATGGGCACACCTAATAGGACACTTCAGTCATTTAAGAGGTTGTATAAGGGCTGCAGGTAACACTTATACAACAAAAGTGTAAGCCGCTATAGGAGACTTGCGTCAGTGCAAGATTCAGTTTTTGTCAACTATGCAACTATTCTGTTACGTGATTCTACTTTATTGCAACCAAACTATTTCTTATGTATTGTATAGACCATTGATTCCCAAAGTGGTCTATATCGACCCCTAGGGGTCTATGACAACCTGCAAGGGGTCTAGATCAGCGAAAAAAATTTGGGGGTCCATGAAATGAATATGGGAGTCCACGATAGCTTCGCTACCTTGCACTGACATGTTCAATTCGTCACGCTATAAATACGAATGTGGGACAAATACGTTTATTCGTTTCCTGAATCTTGAAAAGGAAAGTGCTAAGAAAATATTTTAAAAAAGATAAACAGATAGTATATCACACAAATTGTAGTGAGTCAGTGTTATTTTGTTTGAGAGTGCTGGAGAAAAGTAAGTACATTATTTTTTATTAAATTTTAGTTTTGTACTCGTAGTTAACAAAGATAGATAAATTACGCCAATCATGACTTTAGTTATTAATAGTTAAATATTCAATCATGCAAAATTACACGAGTACTCCTCAATAGTTTCTTTTTGAAAGTTTTAGCAATCGCTAATATAATTACAGTGCAATCTCCGTAATTCGAGCTAATTGTTCGAATTATGGAATGTTTTCGTAAAAATCAAAAAAAAAATGTTTAATATACAGCTGCTGGATTTTGTGTCTTATTTAAATAATTTAATTTTGACTACGGATGACTGATGCCATGTCCGAATCTAAAAAAGAAATGTAGACAGTACAGTGTTGATTATTTGAAATTTGACTTCATTCCATCATTGCCGGACAAACAATCGCCTATGTGCCTTTTATGCAACAAAGTTTTGGGCAATAACGCTATGAAACTATCTAAACTGCAAGATCATCTGAGAAGATGCCACCCTGATAAAACAGAGAAAGATTTGAAATACTTTCAAACACTCAAAAATAAATTTCAGAAGAGACCTACACTGGACAGAATGTTCGCTTCGACGTCACAAAGAAATGATGATGATTTGCGGGCGTCTTACAATATCTCGTTACCAATAGCAAAATCCGGAAAACCGCCTACTATCGGAGAGAAGTTAATTTTGCCAGCCGTTGAAGAGGTTTTAAAAACTGTTTTACACAAACCTGCATCTGATATCATTAAAAGAATTCCCTTAAGCAACAATACTGATGAAAGACGTATTGATGAAATGAGTTCTGATATTGGAAGCTTCTTATGTAATTATTTGCAAACGATCCATTTCTCTATACAACTGGACGAGTCAACTTTACCTGATAATGCAGCATTATTATTGGCATATGTTCGTTTTATTATGAATCAAGAAATCTACGAAGAACTGCTCTTCGCAAGAACTTTGATAATCGACACTAAAGGTGAATCAATATTTCATGTTTTGAAGGTTTACTTCATTGAAAAAGAAATTCCTTTATCAAATACAATATCAGTAGCTACAGATGGAGAACCTGCCATGGTTGGACGTTATCGTGGATTTATAAGCTATTTAAAACAAAATGTCTCAGGGGTGTTAGCAATACATCGACAACATTTAGTTGCTAAAAATTTGAGTGTTAGATTGCATGAATCACTTCATTTAGTCATTGATGCAGTAAACCGAATCCGAAGCAACGCGTTGAATACGCACGCGGTTATTTGCGCAGTTGTGTGAAGAAAATGACGAACACTTTCATCAATTACTCGTTCACACTGAAGTACGCTGGCTGTCGAAAGGCTTATGTTTGACAAGATTTTTTGTACTTTTTGAGACTATTTTAGAATTTCTATACTAAAATACTAAAGATAAAATTTTAAAAGAAAATTTAATGAAGAGGAAAACAGACATCGCCTATTTAACAGATTTGTTTACAAAATTTAATATGGTTAATTTGCAATTACAAGGCGACAGTTTAAATTTGAATAAAACAAAGTCCATCTTATCAGCATTTCTTGCCAGAGTTAAACTAATGAAGCAAAATATTGGACGGGGCGAATTTTCTCAGTTCCCCAATTTGTCACAGACAAGCTGTCAGGAAGATGACGTTTCAACTTACGTTCAACATTTAAATGCCCTCTATTCAGATTTTGAATCTAGGTTTGAGGATATTTTGACTACGGTAATACCACCGTGGATAATTAATCCATATGGTGACATAGAAAAAACGAATGTCATAATACAAGAGGAACTGACTGAACTAAGTACAAACGAAGAACTCAAGGTTCAGTTTAAAAACGGATATCAGCAATTCTGGCTGCAAAACAACATACTTACCCCGTATTATTAAAAGCGTGTTTCTTTTAGTTTGTAGAAAAGCAGAAGAAGTTAAGTCAAGTCAATATATCTGTCAATACGTTGAGCATGAAAGTGTGACCAACTGTCAAAATAATACCAACTTAAAAAAACAACTGAGGGTCCACCCTTTAGAAAAATAGCTCAAAGATCGACGTTTCCAATGGTAAATTCGTTTTTTTAAATTGTGCCTGAAAAAAATGTGGAACCTCGTACCAGTCATATTCGTTTATTACATGAACGACACCAAAAATACCAGAAACTTCTGCTCATCGAAAAAATACCGTCCCTACAAAAATTCGAAGACGCATCGCCCTTTTTAATTCACGAAGAATAAACACTCATAAAACTTTATCCTCGGCCGAAACATTCCATTACTCTTCAGGATGAGTTTTATCTCATACACTTCAAAGTTGCCCGTCGTTTGAAATCCACTTCAAAGTTTTCCCGTCAAGGTTTCTACAGGCCGTTTTGCATAGGTCGGCATTGTATTTAATTGTGCAGCGGTACAAGGTGTTTTTATAGCAGACACAGCTGAAAAAACTACAAAAAAACGAAAAGCCTCGAAGGCAAAAGAGCCGCAAATATCACCTTACAAACTAACTCTATGTTTGCACACGAGTTACCAACTTGGAAGGGAGAATGAAAAGTTCCCTAGATAAATTAAATTCGGATGGAATCGTTGAAGGAGAAAAACGAGGTGGTAGGTGGTTAGATACAGTTATTACGAGAGACAAGGCACTTCGAGATGCAATTCACAAGCACATCGTAAGGTTCCCGAAAATTCAGTCCCACTACTGCCGATCAAGATCAACCAAGGAATATCTTCATCCAGAATTAACCGTTTCTAAGATGTATGCTATCAGATACAGCGAATGAGCTTCAAGTTCCAATCAACAAATTTTAGCAACCAATGGCTATGAAATGTTGAAAACAAAATACTGTCAAAGTATGAGATGACAACGTGTCATTGAAACTTTACCAGCTTGTTGAATATTAAGAAATTACATATAATTCAGCCACAACTTAAAGAAATTTTTGATTTTTGAATTAAATTCATGTTTTAATTACTATTGTTTATTTTTTATTCATGTTTACATTATTATTACTGGGTGTTTTTTCCTATAAACCTCTTGCAGATAGCCATTAAGCACCTACTTGATGACAGGCTCTACAAAAAGATATTGCTCGTTTCCAAACATTCATTCATTTACTTGCCGTTCATCAGAACCATTATGGCACCTTAGATTGATGTTCCCACAAAACCATTCAGGTTTTTTGATATCCGTACATCCATAAAGTTGAATATTTTTCGTTGTTCAGGAACTGAACAAACATCCACACTATATTCACAGCGATTAAGAAATTCGCAAATATATGCCTTAAAGCTACCAGCAAACCTATAAAACCTGCAAACAAGTTTTGGCTTGTTTTCATACCGGCCACACTGGGTCCTCCCTTTAACTCGAGAACACCGACGTAATCGCCTTGAGTGGTGCAAACAACGGTCACTCTGGGATCAGGAATGGAACAGTATTGTCTTTAGTGATGAGTCTCGATTTTGTTAAGGCATGCACGATGGTCGTGTCAGGGTTAGAAGGCGACGTGGTGAAAGGAGTAATCCACAGTTTTTTGTTGAAGGACATGTTCATCACACTGTTGGAGTTATGGTTTGGGGTGTTATAGCTTATGGTTCCAGGTCACCTTTAATCTTCATCAGAGGTAACATGAACGCGCAGCGTTATATCCACGAAGTTCTAGAACCCTATCTTGACACCCTGGCAGATCGAACTTTCCAACAAGATAATGCCCGACCACATGTTGCAAGAGTCACAATAGACTTCTTTCAACATAATGATGTCACATTGTTACCATGGCCACCAAGATCTCCCGACTTATCCCCAATTGAGCACGTGTGGGATATGATGGGTAGGAGATTGCTCAATTTGCAACGTCCTCCTCAGACTCTAGAAGCACTTCGAGAGGAGTTGGTGGTTGCCTGGAATGAGATACCACAGGAGGACATTGACCACCTGATCAGAAGCATGCCTAGGCGCGTTGGAGAATGCGTAGCACATCAGGGTGCATCCACACATTATTAAAGGTGAAAGGGCTTTAAAGCAGTGCAATCATTTTGAAATTTTTATCATTTACTTATTATGCTTCATTAAGTACTTATACAAATTTTTTTAAAATAAAACCATTTAAACTGGGTGTTCGGATTTATATGTCACTTAGTATATTTTACGAGTAGGAAGTTGATAGAAAAATAAGACAGCACAAAAAACTAACATATATTAGAATAACCATATTTACGATTTACAAATAATATATTCGTACATGTCATTTACCAACATTAAGCGACGTGGATTCTACCAGTCGAGTCAGTTCCACATCAGATCTTTGATTAATATTCTTAATTCTAAACAGCATGACATATCCGAAACCAAGAAGTAACACAGTTATTATTACTAATAAGATAACAATTAGTATAAGCACTGGATTCGCCCTATCCGAAACCTCATCTTCTGAAGACCCACTAAGTTTCTCAGAATGACTTGGCTTTAGATAATCATCCTCAAGCATCCTTGATAGCAACAGACTTGCATTGTTTTGAGCTTTCTCCAACAAAAGTTTAAGTGTACTTTGGTGCGTTATCTTTATCGTGTCTAGCAACGTTTTAATATCTGTATCCATATCAGAAAATGTCTTTATTAATAATCCTCTATCATTCTTGTTAGAATCTAATGTATCGTTTAAGACCTGCTTCAAACTAGCGAGCATTCTATAAAATTCGCTAATGTTTATCGAATTCTTATTGATCTCTACAGTCACATTACTCAAAGCATTGTATAACTTTCTGTGGATATCCACTGAGTTATTGAAAGATACATCGCTTCGATTTATCAGTTTTTCGAAAACCAGCGTTCTTTCGCGGGTAGCATTATTAAAATTCATTCCCAATCGTTTGATTAAGTCGCCTAAATACTGTACAAAGCTGCTGTTTTTGAAGTTTTTATTGAAATAATCGATTAGATGTTTATATGATACATTGCTCTGGCTTCCACCAGCATTATCATAAATAGGTTCATAAAAATTGCTGCATTTGATACCGTAAATGTTATCGTCATCGATATCAGACCCACGAATGAACATTACCTTTCTAAGTTCCAAAACATGAATTATTTCTAAAAGTTTGTGACACGAGAAAGCATTGCCTCTGAAATCTAACGAATGCAACATTGGCAAGTGCTTAAATAACTGATGAATATCCAAATCGCTTATTTCGTTTCTACTGAAATCAATTTTGAACAGTAGTTTCGCAGAGTGGAACGTTGTAAAAGGCAACGTTTTGAATCCGTTATAGGAAATATTAAGGATCCTTAGATTGCTCAAGCCATCAAACGTTCCAAATGAAAAGCTGGAGATGCCGTTCTTAGACAAATCAAGAATTTTCAAACACTGTAAGTCTTTGAACATCACGCTCGGTATATACGTTAGATTATTCTCACTTAAATTGAGTTCTTCCAGTGAACTGGCGTTAAGCGGTTTGTTTGGTAAGTTTGAAATGTTATTAGCGCCTAAATTGAGTACCTTCAATGAACAAGTATTTTCAGGTATTTCTGCTAACATATTATTATATAGATCCAGGATCTCTAGCGTCTCATTGTCGTTGTTGATTTCAAATTCCTTGATCAAGTTTCGAGCTAGATGTAATTCTTGAATGACAGGAAACTTAGACATATCAAATCCTTGCATTTTATTATTACTTGCATTCAATGTGACTGTATTAAAATCTACTGATGGATTAATTTTGTTTATGGAATTGTACGAGATATCGAGTGTTCCGATTTCTGCAAAAGAGTCTGGTAATGATGTCAGCTTATTCCTACTTAGATACAGTTTCGATAGAGGAACGCTAGAAAAAGCATCATCGCCGACATTTGCGATTTGATTTTCAGACAAATCCAATTCGTTCAAGTATTCTAGTGAATTAAATAGACCTACAGTTATTTCTGCGAGGTTGTTCTTACTTAGAAAAATCGCATGTATCTTTGGCTGCTTGTTGAACGCCCCCGGTGTGATTTTTGTCAAGCCGAGGCTGCTTAGATGTAATTCTGAAATTTGGAATCCAGCTGCGAACGCTGATCCACGCAGAACTGATATATTGGTACTACTGAAAAATCTGATACGATCTGTAGGACATACTAGGTATGTATCAGAGGTAATCGCGTACTTTGAGTCCTTTACATAGAATGACAGATCACAGGTAACGTCAATGGTGATGGTATTTGTATTTTCGCATGGGTCGTGATTTTTTCTTGGTCGGTATCCATACCGCCTTTGACTATAATCATCATAATAGTAGTCTCGAGAATGTTGAGTAGTAGATGTTGTTGTTGTGCGTCCGCGTGGTACATAGCACTGTTCACGGTGTGGTGGGAAGAAACCAGATCCTTGATATGACCCCACCATAGATACTGTTACAAATATAAACAGGATCTTCACAGTAGTTCTGAAACAGAAAAAAGCTTCTATTTTAATAGAATCAGAACTTGTAGAAATTGGAAACGAATCATTAACATGTCCCAAAAAACTTAAAGTGTCGTCTACAAAAGTTTCCAAAGAAGGTGAACTCGATATTTCTCAATGACTATCGTCCCATTAGCCTTCTGTCTGCTTCTTCTAAAAAGGTGATTCTAAGTCACCTTGCAAATTTTTCAACTCAAAATTGGTGACAGTTTCATGGCCATATAATGATTATTTTCAACGCGCTAACAATAGGGTGCAAACATTTAACGATACGGCACATCGAAGCATGGACGCCCAACTAACAATTATCACTCCGAGAGTTGCAAGAATGATTATACAGTATTCCTTAAACAGCATTGTATACTGTAAGAACATTGGCAAAACCCTCTTAGAACAGCTGTACAAGCGGAATGGGCACACCTAATAGGATAGTTCAGTCATTTAAGAGGTTGTATAAGGGCAGCAGGTAACAGTTATACAACAAAAGTGTAAGCCTCTTGCAGCCGCTATAGGACATTTGCGTCAGTGCAAGATTCAGTTTTTATCAACTATACAACTGTTCTGTTACGTGGCACATGGTAACGTTTCCATGGTGCCACAACACAACCATTTTGACTAACGTGCAAATAAGCCGTATAAAATAGTTGTATAAACGTTTATGCAACAGTTAAAAATTTGCCCTTTAACTATGCTACTATATAAGAATATTTTAAACACTTCATTTTAGAGCAAATATGTTGCAGAAAGCAAATCTGCATTCCACACAACATTAAGCCAGCATTTTGGTGTTCAGCAACAATAGAGAGCTTTTATGGCTGAACGGTTCTTTTACCAAAAGCTTATACCACTACTTTGCTAGTTCGGCGTGGACCTTAAAATTTGCATATTTAGCATGATTTTGTGTATAATTGTGAGGATTTTTGGGATTTGCATATTCCCAACGCAAGTTGGAAAAGTTATAATCAAAACAATATCCAAACCTGTAGATAAACAACAAAACTTGTAAATATAGGCCGATTTCCGTATTAATAAATTCTTCAAAAATTTCATAAAAAAAACCTGAAAAAGTGATTATTAGATCTTATTGTGAAACAGAGTCTCATCTTTAGGTAATAACTCCAAGAGAAAAAATACACTCAAGATGCCCTCATATAACTAACTACCAAAATGTATAAGTACAACAAGCCAAAGCATATGGTTGCGTCACACGAAAAACTAACTACCTCAGAAATATTTGGATTTCTACGAATAACTTATAATCCTGTGGACAGTTATTTAAAAACTAGATCATCATGCGTAAATATCAATAACTCACTAAGTGAAGACGTTACAGGTATGGAGTTCCACAAGGAACCAGTTTAATAGGCTTTGAAGTTGAGTCATTAATTTTCAGATAATGATTGTAGAAGGAAGATAAACCAAAATATGTGTGTAAAAATAAAAAAAAAATTAAAAAAAAATGTTACCTTGTTTTATAAAGTATCCTCCCGACAAGTATTTCAGTGCGGACCTGTATTTGATCGTGAGGTCCCCTGTGAGGTCTTAAGTCACCTGATTCACGAGCCCGTTGTACTACATTAACAAAGGCACGAGGGGTTGGTTGCACTCGATTGGGAAACCGATCCGCATAAACATGTGCCATTTTTTATTTCGTTTGAGCCACGCAACAGACACTATTCACACGCGTCACCGACTGACACTGACTGTATGTAAAACTGAACTGAATAAAATAATTGTAAAAACATCGTTCCAAATTCTTTCGCTTTTTTGTTTCCGATGCGATGAACCGATAAGGCGGATTATATCCGTTGTTGCGAAACACGAGCACATGATATTATTATTGAGACAGGGCGGTACTCAAACTTCCAAAGGGCTATAACTTTGTTACTTTAATTTTACCAGAAAAATGGTAAAGGAAAAAAACATTTCTTTTGATCAGATCTACTCACTGTTAAAATAAATGACTCAACTTCGAAGTCACCCTGTATGTGAATGATCCTTTGAAATTGAATAATGATAGAAAAAATATTTGTTATGCATATGACATGGCTATCATGTATTCAAATAATGATTGGGATTATTTGAAGATCGAATTGGGTTTCTAAAAGATAATGAATTCCTTCACGATAATAATTTTTGACAATTAGTTTAAAAAAAAAAAATATTCCATAACGTTTCGTTCAGCACAGGCCAACGATGAAAAAACTTTTCCACCAAAAATACCTTATTCTTATGTTTTTTAAGCTGCTGAAACTAAATATGATACTTAAAAAGCCGTATCACCCACTTTTTAATATCTCACAGGTATAGTTAAATTTAGTAAACTAAGCGATTTTTAAAGAACTATATACAGGGTGCTTCAGTTTATTGTTGCATAACTTTAAGATTCGATAGAACTTTTAAAACTAATGCATAAACAGATGACATCCAACTCGCTCAGTATTTGTAAGAGTGCATCGCCAAATAATTGAAAATGGTTTTGGAAATCTCCAAAAAAGATAAATGTTCGTCAGCCATCGTTAGGTGTTAACGCCATTTGGCTTCAACCTCAACGACGAGTAAGTTGTTTTACAATAGAAATCTTTATTGTATTGGTTGCTAGCATCATAATTGTGTTTTGAGCTCCTGAAGAAGACTCCGTAGAGAATACCGAAAGCTCGAGGTTACCGTTAAAAGAGTTTACTAAAGCCTAAAAAGTTTGCCAATTTCTCAATTAACAATTAATTGTATTTTTTCCCCAACTGATCGTTCGCAATGGCAATGACTACTGCTCATATATTTATATATATATATATATATACAGTGTGTTTCAGTTTATTGTTGCATAAATTCGATAGAACTTTTAAAATTAATGCATAAAGTCTATATAAACATGGGTCGAAAAATGCGTGGCTTCCGAAATACAGGGTGTTTAAATTTACTTTCTAAAATAGTTTTTTTTAATATTTCGAACAATATTTGATGTATAATAGTGAAAATTAGTATACAAGGGTTTTTTTGGTACGACAAACCGAACCATGGGCATAGTTTTACTGTAGCCGCTAGAGGGCGCTCTCTACTGTACCTGTAGTGTATTAAAATGACCGAAAACTTTTTCTAAGTGCAATTTATTGCTTTTTGAATAAAAAAACTGATTCTTCGCACTTTTCAACATAAAAAAGCTCTCTTGTGAATTTTCGTTATAGTTAGCCGTTTTTGTGATATTTAGATTTTTAAGGTTCGATGCATTTTTAATTATTTATGATAAAATAACGTTAAAAAGTCAGTATCTCGATAATTGTTAGAAGTAGGCTGTGCCTTTAAATATTTTTGAAATTGAAAGCAGAATAAGGGTAAACGTCAATTAGTTGACAGTTAGTTTTGTTGTCTGTTCAAACCTGAAACGTTTTTTTGCAATTGTGAATGCACGAAATTTAGTTTCTTTTACCTGTTTTTTTTTTGTAAGTTTTATAAAAATGCCATTTTTATTCTTCAATCAAGAGTTAGCGGATATTCATTTTGTGTATGGCTTTGTAAATGGAAAAGCAGCAGAAGCAGCCAGAGAATACGCACGAAGATTTCCAAACAGACGACATCCAACTTGCTCAGTATTTGTAAGAGTGCATCGCCAAATAATTGAAAATGGTTTTGGAAATATCCAAAGGGATCAAAACATAAATGTTCGTCAGCGCAGATTTACCCGTATGATTCTGCGTGAGTTTGATAGAGATCCGACCACAAGTGTTAGGAGAGTTTCTGGTGCCTTGGGAATTTCAGCAAGCCATGTTCACCGTGTTCTTAGAAATGACCATAGACGTCCTTACCATTTGCAACCTGTGCAAGGACTACAGCCAGGGGACGGAGAACGAAGAATCACATTTTGTCAGTGGATTCTTGATAGAACTGATAATGATAGGGAGTTTTTAAGTAACGTTTTATGGACCGATGAGTCATGCTTCATTAGACGTGCAGTGGTAAATTTTCATAATCAACATATTTGGATGGGTATCTACCGTAATCGACTATTTGAACCCTACCTTTTGCCTGCAAGGTTAAATGCTGCGACCTTCTTGGAATTTTTAAAGGCTGAACATGCAAATATGTGGGATGATGTTATGTTAGATTCAAGAAGATTGGCCTGGTTCCAGCTTGATGGTTGTCCAGCTCATTATTCGAGAATAGTTAGAACCTGGCTGGACGAAAATTATCCAGAAAGATGGATCGGCCGTGGAGGACCAGTCGCCTGGAATCCACGATCCCCTGACCTAAATCCATTAGATTTCTTTGTGTGGGGACTTCTACAAGAAAAAGTGTACCAGACTCCCGTAACCACAAGAGATATGCTAATAGACAGAATCAGGAATGCATGTGATGAAATAAGGCCTTATTTGAATAATGCTATACCACGTTCGATCATTCGTAGATGTGAATTGTGTATTGAACAATTGGGTTTACATTTCGAGCAACCACTTTAGATTCTGTATGTTTGTCCTAACTATCCAATAGCATTTTAGTTGTAAATAATTAATTTAATTTGTTAAAAATAATATTGGAAAATTAAACAAATTAATATTCTGTTTTTTGTGTTTATTTGGAGTTAGGAATTATTGCTGTGTTTAAAAATACAATCTAAACGATCATCTTAATTACTTGTAATGCCCAAATCGAAAATGTAAAAAAAAAATATTATTTTCCCATAAATAATTAAAAATGCATCGAACCTTAAAAATCGAAATATCTCAAAAACGGCTAACTATAACGAAAATTCACAAGAGAGCTTTTTTATGTTGAAAAGTGCGAAGAATCAGTTTTTTTATTCAAAAAGCAAAAAGTTGCACTAAGGAAAAATTTTCGGTCATTTTAATACACTACAGGTACAGTAGAGAGCGCCCTCTAGCGGCTACAGTAAAACTATGCCCATGGTTCGTTTTGTCGTACCAAAAAACCCTTGAATACCAATTTTCACTATTATACATCAAATATTGTTCGAAATATTTAAAAAAAAACATTTTAGGAAGTAAATTTAAACACCCTGTATTTCGGAAGCCACGCATTTTTCGACCCATGTTTATATAGACTTTATGCATTAATTTTAAAAAGTTATGCAACAATAAACTGAAACATCCTGTAGATGTTATATAGTTAAAATAATTGAAAAACTAGGTCTAAATGGATGTAGATGACGTCGGTAGAACTGCTGAGACACACATTTTCTGGCCAAAACCGTTGATTCAAAGGGCCAGTTCCAGTCGTAAAAACCCTGCTGACAGTTTTTGCTATATTTGTGGCCAGTTTGTGATTGAAAAACACCAAAGAAACATTACAGACTTTGTGAAAAAACTTTGGAACCAATCTTTGTTGGACCTGATATCAGAAAATGATGTCTGATATTAAATTTGAATCCAAAATGACCTTAAATGAGAATGAAGCATGGCAATACGGACATCTTTCAAGCAAGAAGTTGTTGGGAAATGAAAAAGACCCAGAACATGTTCAAGAAGTTTAGAACGCTTGATGAGCCTGAAAGTTCACTTTTTGAACAGTAACCTTGATTACTTCCAGAACAATTTAGGGAGCAATGTGAGCGTTTTCACCAGGACGATGAACTTATAGGAAAACGCTACCAGGGCCGCTAGAATACCAGCATGATGGGGAACTGCTGTTGGTCACTTCACAGAAAATTTCAGCAAGCAACTCATCAAAAAAAAAACCTACACAAGAAGCTTCAAATAAAAAAGAGAAAGAAATTGTAAATCAGTTCCAGCTGACAAGTAAAACCAGTATTATATGAGTATCACTGTTTTAAGTACCCTACCGTAATATAGCGTTTCATTCATTCCACCATATACCGTATAAGGATTTTATACTATACAGGGTGGCGCATCGAAAACGAAACAGACGCATTTACTGGTAGGTCAATTTTTTTTGAAAAACGCTCACACCCGTCGATTTTGTTTTCGAGGGGGACACAAGTTAGGCAAAAAGTCACGTGCAGCCCCCTAAGCGGGGGTGACACCACCCCCAAAATCTTAAATGGAAAGGGGGGTCGAATGATACCTTATTTTAAAGGTCTTTCAATTCCCTCTATAATGATATAAAATTAATGTACTTCAGTTCAGTAATTTTGAAGATTTATTGATTTAAAGCTTAAATAAAACGAATACATCATCATTAGTGGAGATCACTACGTTTGGCAGCAAAGTAATTTAAAAATGAAGAATGAACTGACCCGTTAGGCAAGTAAATGTTGAAAATGGCCACCATGACTCTCCATGCAATAATAAAGATTTTGCTCAAAACGTTGCCACACATTTTGCAATATTTGAGGAATAATTTGAAAGCACTCATCCACAATTCTTTGTCGCAGGTCTTTTAATGATGTTGGCTCTCTTTCTGCTGTGGAATATACCATGGTTAATTTATGTAATAAAGCGCTACAAGTTATTTTAGCAACAAAGTTTGGTCAAATCAATCGCAAACTATGTACTAAATTCCTATTTTAAATAAGTACGAGATATTTCCTTGTCTTTCTTCAAGAAATAACTTTTTTGCCAGAAAAAAAACGCTCTAATAGCTATTTTCAACAACAAAATGATAAACAAACCATGGGCGTAGTGAAGAAAAGCATTTACTTATTAAGTAAATTCTTCTAGTCAAATTTCTTCTGAAAGTAGTACACACTAATCTGAAAGTCTACCTTAAGCTTTAAATAAATAAATCTTCAAAACTACTGAACTGAAGCTCATGTATTTTACATCATTATAAAGGGAATTGAAAGACCTTTAAAATAAGGTATCACTCGTCCCCCCTTTCCATTTAAGATTTTGGGGGTGGTGTCACCCCCGCCCAGGGGGCTGCACGTGTTAACGTGATTTTTTGCTAAACTTCAAAAACAAAATCGACGGGTCTGAGCGTTTTTCAAAAAAAAACTGAGCTGTCAGTAAATGCGTTTGTTTCGTTTTCGATGCGCCACCCTGTATAATGAAATGCAAATTGCTGAAAAACTATGGGTGATACAAACAAACTTAGGTCATATTTGGATTCAGTTCTCAAAAATCTACGAAAATCATCTGTCAAAGTTAAAAAAAGTTTTCAAGAATTTTTTTTTGTTATATAGATATTCTTCTACCTTTATTAGATTCCAAATTCAAACGCAAGATGGCTAAAAATATATACAATCAGTAATTAATATCACATACTTAGGAACAATTATATAGTTCATTATAATAATATAACCTGTTTCTGGACAATCAGGAAAATAATTGATTAAATATACAGGGTGTTAATTTAGTATGTACCATAAATTGAACGGACGATTCTCTGAGTAATTTTAAGACAAAACGTTCGTATAAACATGGGTCCGCAAATTCTTCGTTCTCAAGATACAGAGTCTTAAAGTTTTAAAAATATGGTTTTCCGAAATATCTTACATTTCCTTTACCTATTTTTGTTGCAATTTGGCGGTGGTATTTATAACATTAAGGAGCTAATTCAGCTTTAACTTGATTAAATTTATTAAGTCCAGTGACGTCTTGAGCGGGATCTGAACGACTGTTTGTGACAAAAAAATGTATGTCACTGACATTTGTGCAATTTTATTATGTTCTTTGCATTAAGCAAACATAAATACAACTACATAATTTAGCCACTTTTTCATATGAAAAATCATACCAAAGCATTTAACTTTTTTGAGAAAATTAAATTAATTAATTTCAGTCGGAATGTAGAAAAAAGTCACACACATGCGAAAGCAACAAAACTTCAAATATTATAACATTTGTAGCCCAAGAATGACTCTTTTTAGCTAGCTCAAGTTTTTCAAAATCGGCTCAACCCACACGAAGATACAGGGCGTTCTTTACGAAAACCTTTGAATACCCCCACCACTTTATTTTTAGAGATACAGCAAAAATTGTCAAATACAAAAGTTCACATTATCCTCGACTTTAAAAATCAGGTATCTTTTGTTAGGTTAATGTAGCGGAAATCACAGAAACATTACTTTTTAGATTCAAGGTTGCAGGTGCACGGGTTTGTTGTTTCCTTATGTTCATCATTATTTAATAACCGTCTTATTCTACACCATGAAACAACAACTAAGAACTAACCTTATCATGGTGAATTTCCCTTCAAACTGATTCTGTCGTCAAACATTCACTTTTCGATATCTTTCGCCTATATTGATATCGAATAGACTTCTTGACAGTGGCTTCGCTTGCACTGAATTCCGTAACAAAATATATGAAACCATCGTTGATAAAAAGTGCGGCGTCAACGGAAAGGAAGATACCAAACGTGACCGTTCAATGATTTGATTTTAGCAATATCGTTGTTCTTGTTATTTCCGAGTAAGCTTAGTCACAGAATGGAAATCAAGTAGATTGACTCGGTAGAATCTACGCATGTCTGCGAAAGGTTGGAAAATCTCGAAACTGGAGATACTACAGACCAAAATCTCCACTATCTCCAGTTTCGAGATTTCCCAACCATTCGCAGACACCCTGTATATGTTACACTTCTAACAAGTTGACCTTTTTCGTTGTGGAAATACGAGAAAATGAGATTTTTTCGTCAGTTGTTGTATACAGGGTAGCACAAAAAGGTTATGATAAGTTATTTACCGAAATAGTGCTGTAAGTGGCGCGCTTTAGAACTTTGATCATAAAAAATACCGGATTCTTGTTTCTCATACCAGAAAACCTCTCTGTGTCGAGTTTTATGTCGAAATCTGAAATACTTCTCAAGAAATAAGGAAAAATAGAAAATAAAATTTTAACTTTGACATCCTGTATCTCGCAAACTATCAACTTTTTGACTAAGGTATGTTCAGGTCAATTCACATATTTTGGTCTGTAGTATCATCAGTTTCGAGATTTCCCGACCATTCGCAGAAACCCATATGTTACTGTGAAAGTCCGAAATTAGTTAATGTCGACATTCACCCGTGAGTGTCGACACACACCAAATGGCTTGGTGAAAGACCGAACATTTATAAATATCATTATAGTTTCTGATAGTCCCAGGTGTATGTTGACAAACACAAATAGGTCCTACATCCTACTACATGGAACTCACACCCATGTCCATTACCAGAGGAACGGTAGCTTTCTACCGCATGGAAGTCACACCCATGTCCATAACCAGGCGAACGGTAGCTTCCTACCGTAGTGAAGTCACACCTGATATGGAAATACGTCGCATGGAGGAACGGTAGCTTCCTGCCTCATGGAAGTCACGCCCATGTCCATAACCAAGGGAACGGTAGCTTCCTACCACAATGAAGTTACACCTGATATGTAAATACGTCGCACGGGGAACATTAGCTTGCTACCGCATGGAAGTCACGCCCGTGTCCAAGATCAGGGGAACGGTAGCATCCTACCGCATGAAAATCACGTCTGCTAGGGAAATACATCGCACAGGAGAACGGTAGCTACCTACCGCATAGAAGTCACACCCATGTCTATAACCAGGGGAATGGTAGCTTCCTACCGCATGGAAGTCACACCCATAACAATAACCATGGGACCGGTAGCTTCCTACCGCGTTGAAGTCAGGCCTGATATGGAAATACGTCACACGGGGGAACGGTAGCTTCCTACCGCAATGTAGTCACACCTGATATGTAAAAACGTCGCACGGGGAACGGTAGCTTCCTACAGCATGGAAGTCACGCTTGTGTCCATAATAAGGGGAACGGTAGCTTCATATCGCATGAAAATCACGTCTGATAGGGAAATACATCGCACGGGAAAACGGTAGCTTCCTACCGCATAGAAGTCACACCCATGTCTATAACCAGGGGAAGGGTAGCTTCCTACCGCATGGAAGTCACGCCCATGTCCATAACCAAGGGAACGGTAGCTTCCTACCGCGTTGAAGTCAGGCCTGATATGTAAATACATCGCACGGGGAACAGTAGCTTCCTACCGCATGGAGGTCACGCCCGTGTCCATGATCAGGGGAACGGTAGCATCCTACCGCATAAAAATCACGTCTGATAGGGAAATACATCGCACGGGAGAACGGTAGCTTCCTACCGCATAGAAGTCACACCCATGTCTATAACCAGGGGAATGGTAGCTTCTACCGCATGGAAGTCAGGCCCGATATGGAAATACGTCACACGGGGGAACGGCAGATTCCTAACGCATGGAAGTCACATCCATTTCGATAACTAGAGGAACGGTAGCTTCGTACCGCAATGAAATCACACCCGATATGAAAATACGTCGCACGGGGAACGGTAGCTTCCTTCCGCATGGAAGTCATACCCATGTCCATAACCAGGGGAACGGTAGCTTCCTACCGCGTGGAAATCAGGCCTGATATGGAAATATGTCGCATGGGGGACCGGTAGCTTGCTACCGCATGGATGTCATGCCCATGTTCATAACCAGGGAACGGTAGCTTCCTACCGCAAGGAAGTCACTCCTGATATGGAGATACGTCGCACGGGGGACCGGTAGATTCCTACCGCATGGAAGTCATACCCATGTCCATAACCAGGGGAACGGTAGCTTCCTACCTAAGTCACGCCCGTGTCTATGACAACTTTAAAGTAACAATCCCTATACATATCCTGCCATGAAATACTTTCAGACTCCACATACGCGTGAAACTTACCAGGGTCGTAAGTGGTTGTTGAAATGTGTAAGCTAGCAGTGCCTTTCTCAGCATTCCAAGTGTCAAGTGAACCTTTTACAGGATGTCTCACATGCAGAAAAGTATCTAAGATATTGTGTATGCTTACATTCACTACCCTCGTAATAAAAGTGAAAAGGTTCAGGGTAGTACTTCGCTACCTGCTAAGGCGGGTTTGTTTATAATTTTATAATCATCGTCTTATCCTACACCATGAAAGAACAACTAAAAACTAACCTCGTCATGGTGAATTTAGAAAACTTCAAACTGATTCAGTCGTCAAGCATTCACTTATCGATATCTTTCGGCTGAGCAGAATTCTTTACATTGGCTTGGCTTGCACTGCATTCAGTAACAAAATACATGAAACCGTTGTTGATAAGAAGTGCAGTGTCAACTGAAATGATTGGTATCTTATCTTACCAATGATTTAATTTTAGCAAGATGTTTGTTCTTGATATCCCTGAGTAAGCTTAGTCATAGAATGGATATCAAGCAGTTTGATTCGGTACAATCTAAGCATTTTATACAGCTCTTTAGATTTTCAGATCCACGAGAATTCTATAGGATAAGAAGTTTATAGAATGGTAAGCATATGAAATATCTCAAACACATTTGCATGCGTGTTCAACCCTGTAGCACACGAAATCTTTCCAGAAGGTTCACAAGTCTGGCCACTCAATACGATGGCCCTTAGGCTTGTTTCCTTTATTCTGCTGTACTGTATGGATTTATAATCATAATACTTTTTATTCGTGATCATCAATGTCGTAAGCCATATTCATCAAGATGCTTTGATCGTATATCTATATTTCTATTAATGGCTTACAGGCTCAATAATTGCGGATAATGATAGGAAAATTAACTGGCTCAGACAGGTGTGATGCCTCCAGTGTCTGGGGGTTGTTTTGGGACTTTCAGAGCCCGATTGCCGGATCCAGGTGGTCAAGTTAATTATTACTGCTCGATTTTCTTTATCAGAGGAAATGTCGGACACCGCTTGGGATGTTGACATGATGATTTTTGGCATCCTAGGTCAGGATTAACTACTTAACTATTTTCTCTTGGAGATTCTTGGAATTCTTGGAATTCTCGTCACTCTTAGAATTCTCGGAATTCTTGCGATTCTTGCCGCTCTTGTGATGTTTTTTGATACATCTGAAAATTCCTCAAATTATGTCATTCTCAAAATTGTTTAAATACTCGGAAGATATTAGGATTCTAGAAATCTTCAAACAATTTCAAAGTGTTGAATTTTTTTAAAGTTCAGCTTGACCTGCTACGTTGTAGCCAATAAAAGTCTATTCTTGGAATTTTGTAATTCTTGAATTACTTGAAATTCCTGAAATTCTTGAAATTCTTGAAATTCTTGAAATTCTTGAAATTCTTGAAATTCCTGAAATTCCTGAAATTCCTGAAATTCTTGAAATTCTTGAAATTCTTGAAATTCTTAAAATTCTTGAAATTCTTGAAATTCTTGAAATTCTTGAAATTCTTGAAATTCTTGAAACTCATGAAATTCTTGAAATTCTTGTAATTCTTGAAATTTTTGAAATTTTTGAAATTCTTGGAATTCTTGAAATTCTTGAAATTCTTGAAATTCTTGAAATTCTTGAAATACTTTAAATACTTTAAATACTTTAAATACTTTAAATACTTGAAATACTTGAAATACTTTAAATACTTTAAATACTTTAAATACTTTAAATACTTTAAATACTTTAAATACTTGAAATACTTGAAATACTGGAAATACTGGAAATACTGGAAATACTGGAAATACTGGAAATACTGGAAATACTTGAAATTCTTGATATTCTTGAAGTTCTATGAATTCCTGGAATTCTCGGAGTTCTTGCTGCTCCTGTAATCCATGTTTTTATATATCTGAACGTGTCACAAAGTTTGTCATTCTCAAAATTGTTTAAATTAGGTATTAGGATTTTAAAACATTTGAGATTTTTGGAAGTCTTGAATTTTTAGAAAGTTTAGTTTGACTTCCTGCATTGTTCTTTACACTTCGTACCTATTAAAGATCTGTTCTTCTTTTCTATTCTATAAATACTTGAAACTCTCTTAATAAATCTGACCTTAACGGACTAATAAACAATTTCAAGGGATGCTTTCTCAATATTCGCCTATTATACAACTTCTATTTGTGTTTGGCACTAACCAAAATGCATCTTGCCTTAGGGCATCCGACCCTAAGAGGACGGGGAACGGAGAGGCATAATGCGCGTGAAACTCCAAGGAAACTTGCTAAATTAAATTTGTTGGAATCCGTTCCCAACTTCAGTAAAAGAATATTGGTATAGCTTCATGTACTTCGCACTGCAGAGTTTCCTATCCGAGAATGAAAATAGACTTTAGAGTTTAAACACATCAAGAAGGTAGAATCGCGAAGTTTTCAGTATTTATAAAAAAATTAATCGAACACAAGGTAATCGATAGCACCTACATTATTCAAGTTATCCAATATTCAATGACGTTCAATATCCAACATGATTCAATGTACAAATCTACTTCTTATTTATTTTAACCAGTAACATGCGAATATTTCATTCGGATTTGATATCGCTTCAAACCTTGTTCCAACAGAAACACAGCAAGTCTACTAACTCCCACTACTATTCCAAAAACCAAAAATGCTGTATAACAGTCGATGATACCCACACTTTCAAAATTACTTCCCTTTGAATGACAAGTTGTTTTTTTGTATAAATTCTGTTTTTTTCCCTTCTTTGAATTCCAGATTAATAAATACACTAACTTTTGGAATCCAGGGTATTCTTGGGATTCTCGAGATTCATGAAATTCTTGGAATTGTTGGAATTTGTGGACTTCCTGAGATTCTTGGAATACTTAGAGTTTCTGGAATTCTTGCAAATCTTGAATTATTTGAATTCGTCGAACTAATGAAATTCCTGGAATTCGTGGAATGCTTGAAATACTTGGAAATCTATGATTTCTTGGAATTCTTGGAAATCTGAGAATTCTTGAAATTCTTGGAATTCTTGAAGAGTTTTCCATCGGAGAATGCAAATAGACTTAAGAGTAGCGCTTAAAAGTGCATGAACAATCGCAAGGTTTTCAGTATTTATACTAATCTCAATAAAGCAAAGGGTAATCGATAGCATCTACTTTATTCAACTTATCCAATATTCAATTACGTCCAGTTTACAACTTAGTCTATTGTCCAAATTTACTTCTTATTTATTTTAACAAAATCGGTGACATACGAATATTTCATTCGGTTTTGATATCGCTTCAAGCCTTGCTCCAACAAAAACACTGCAAGACTAACTCCCACTCCTATTGCAAATATCAAAAATGCTGCATAACAATCGATTAGACCTACACTTCCAAAATTACTTCCATTTGAATGACAAATCGGTTTTTTGGTATAAATTCTGTTTTCTTCCCTCCTTTGAGTTCCAGATTGCAATATTTGCAAAGATCTACAATGAATACAATGCTAGGAATCCAGGCAATTATTGGTATTATAGTAATTATTGGAATTATTGGGATTATTGGAATTATTGGAATTACTGGAATTATTGGAATTATAGGAATTATTGGAATTATAGGAATTATTGGAATTATTGGAATTATTGGAATTATTGGATTTATTGGAATTATTGGAATTATTGCAATTATTGGAATTATTGGAGTTATTGGAATTATTGGAATTATTGGAATTATTGAAATTATTGGAATTATTGGAATTATTGGAATTATTGGAATTATTGGAATTATTGGAATTATTGGAATTATTGGAATTATTGGAATTATTGGAACTATTGGAATTATTGGAATTATTGGAATTATTGGAATTATTGGAATTATTGGAATTATTGGAATTATTGGAATTATTGGAATTATTGGAATTATTGGAATTATTGGAATTATTGGAATTATTGGAATTATTGGAAATATTGGAATTATTGGAATTATTGGAATTATTGGAATTATTAGAATTATTGGAATTATTGGAATTATTGGAATTATTGGAATTATTGGAATTATTGGAATTATTGGAATTATTGGAATTATTGGAATTATAGGAATTATAGGAATTATTGGAATTTTAGGAATTATTGGAATTATTGTAATTATTGGAATTATTGGAATTATTGGAATTATCGGAATTATCGGAATTATCGGAATTATCGGAATTATTGGAATGGAATTATTGGAATTATTGGAATTATTGGAATTATTGGAATTATTGGAATTATTGGAACTATTGGAATTATTGGAACTATTGGAACTATTGGAATTATTGGAATTATTGGAATTATTCGAATTATTCGAATTATTGGAATTATTGGAATTATTGGAACTATTGGAATTATTGGAATTACTGGAATTATTGGAATTATTGGAATTATTGGAATTATTGGAATTATTCGAATTATTGGAATTATTGGAATTATTGGAATTATTGGAATTATTGGAATTATTGGAATTATTGGAATTATTGGAATTATAGGAATTATAGGAATTATTGGAATTATAGGAATTATTGGAATTATTGGAATTATTGTAATTATTGCAATTATTGGAATTATTGGAATTATCGGAATTATCGGAATTATCGGAATTATCGGAATTATCGGAATTATCGGAATTATCGGAATTATCGGAATTATTGGAATTATTGGAATTATTGGAATTATTGTAATTATTGGAATTATTGGAACTATTGGAACTAGTGGAATTATTGGAATTATTGGAATTATTGGAATTATTGGAATTATTGGAATTATTGGAATTATTGGAATTATTGAAATTATTGGAATTATTGGTATTATTGGAATTATTGTAATTATTGTATTATTGGAATTATTGGAAGTATTGGAATTATTGGAATTATTGGAATTATTGGAATTATTGGAATTATTGTAATTATTGGAATTATTGGAACTATTGGAACTAGTGGAATTATTGGAATTATTGGAATTATTGGAATTATTGGAATTATTGAAATTATTGGAATTATTGGAATTATTGGTATTATTGGAATTATTGTAATTATTGGAATTATTGGAAGTATTGGAATTATTGGAATTATTGGAATTATTGGAATTATTGGAATTATTGGAATTATTGAAATTATTGGAATTATTGGAATTATTGGAATTATTGGAATTACTGGAATTATTGGAATTATTGGAATTATTGGAATTATTGGAATTATTGGAATTATTGGAATTATTGGAATTATTGAAATTATTGGAATTATTGGAATTATTGGAATTATTGGAATTATTGGAATTATTGGAATTATTGGAATTATTGGAATTATTGGAATTATTGGAATTATTGGAATTATTGGAATTATTGGAATTATTGGAATTATTGGAATTATTGGAATTATTGGATTTATTGGAATTATTGTAATTCTTGCTGCTCCCGTGTATTGGGATCTTAAATAATCTTCGAAGTATTTGAAATTTTCGTAAGCATTGAATTTTTTTAAAGTCTTTGGACCATTTCTGGAGTTTTCGAAATTAATGAATTCCTAAACTATTTGAAAACTTAATATACTTGTAACTTTGACATTTTTCCTACCCGACTTTGATAAGTTCCTTATAAGCAGAATTCTTCCTGATAGGCATATGGGTATCGACGGGCGTTATGAAGATGACTTCTTTCAAAGAACATTTTTCATGTTCTTCAAAAGTGTCGGCAACGATTTTGTACGATGAAGACACTTCACCGCTGAATCCAAAAAATTCTTTACGAACCCTTGCAATGCCTTCTTCTACGGTCATGAAGTGGGGTTTTTGACCTTTTGGAGCCACTTTTTGCTCGTAGATTGCTTTTCTTGTCGGCTCTGTGGCATGCTAAAAAAAAGAAACGCTCTTCGATATTTGCTATCGCTGTCGAAATTCGTTATTTTTGTTGCACTAAAAGCTCTCTACTGTGCCGTGGCAAGCGAAATCAATTGTGGATCAGTTATTTTACCTCGAAATAGTAGTGTCCATATACCACATCATGGACTCCCAATGTAATTCTGGAATTCAAAATGTCCTCTAGAGTTTTGATGCTTTCAGTGGTCGATTGCAGCAATGCGACGATGTTTGCTGAATATGAGGTATACAAAAACATTAATGCAAGCAAGGTTATTAGAGTAGCTATTCTTCCTGAAAAAAAAGGATGAATAAATTTGAAAGAGATTTTGAGTTGCTTGCTGTACGAGAAAGGCAACTGTAGTCTCTTCGTCACTCACAGTCATTTTCACTGTTTGAAACTCGCAATAGGGATAATAGTTGCCCTAATAGCCATCGTCTTGACAAAATCAGAAACGGGGCAAATTTTTATGGTATTAAATTTTTTAACGTGTTGCCAAGATCTGTCAAATCGCTGAGTATTGACGCTTTCCATAAGAAACTCAAAGACTATCTAACAAACAGCATTCTTCTGTATTGATGAGTATTTGACAAATAGCTTTAGCGATATGCTTTTGTAAATGTTCCTATTATTATTTTTATTTCAGTCGGCTCCGCGTTTCTTTTACTGTGTCTCATTTTTCCGCTTGTATGTTTATGTTTACTATACTCTCCCGCACTATGTTTCCTGGCGTCACATCTTAAAGACAGACAGCAACAGGCGGCTCTGGAAACAAGTATTTCAAATTTACCGGAATGTTCCATCGGGGAAACCACAAGGTTCAATCCTAGAGCCCCTCTTGTTCCTAATATATACATTTGATTTGGTCATCAAAATTAAAAACTGGAGTGTAACTTGTTCTGCCGATAATACTCAATTATTGTTAAGCTATGCACCTGGTGACTTCAAACTGGCTGAGGCTAAAATTAATATTGATCTCGAAAGTATTGATAGCTGTTCTGCTATTAATAACACATCCTCAAAAATCAACTGTTGTACTATTTTGCAAGAAAGAAAAACGGAGACATCCAGAAGCAAGCCTTAATCTGAAAATAAGCTGCATAGGTTTAAAATTTAATCGTATATGCAGAAGATTGTATCTACTCATAGATGAAAACCAACGTTTTCACGATAACAGCGTCATCAAAACAGGCTATTTTACGCTGAAGCTATTATATATCAACAGACACTTCCTCATTTCTAGGAATTCTATGAATTCTGGGAGTTATAGGAATTCTTGGATTCCATGGTATTCTTGGAAGTCCGGTAATTCTTGAGATTCTGGGAATTATTGTAATTCTTGGAATTGTTGGACGTATTGGAATTGTTGGAATTCTTGGAACTGCGGTAAATCTTGGAATTCTCCGTTTCTCAGTTCCACTAACCTTGAGCAATTCAAAAATCGGAATAGCAAAGTTTCTTTAAGTTCTTCATAGCAACCTCAGTACCCTGGCGTATAGGCTTTTCACACGCATGTAAACAGCGTCATTAAAACAGGCGTTTTAGGCTGAAACTATTATATACCAATAGACACTTCCTCAATTCCTGATATTCTAAAAATTCTAGGAATTCTTGGAATTCTAGGAATTCTTGTAATTCTTAGATTTCTTATAATTCTAGGAATTCTTGTAATTCTTAGATTTCGTGGAATTCTTGGAATTATGGCAATTCTTGGGATTCTGGGAATTGTTGGGATTGTTGGAATTTTTGGAACTATTGGAATTGTTGGGTTTGTTGGAATTGTTAGAACTGTTGGAATTGTTGGGATTGTTGGAATTGTTAGAATTTTTGGAACTATTGGAATTGTTGGAACTGTTGGGATTGTTGAAATTGGAATTGTAGTAATTGTTGAAGATGTTGGAATTGTTGAAAATGTTGGAATTGTTGGAATTGTTGGAACTGTTGGAATTGTTGGAATTGTTGGAATTGTTAGAACTGTTGGAACTGTTGGAATTGTTGGAATTGTTAGAACTGTTGGAATTGTTGGAATTGTTGGAATTGTTGATATTGTTGGAATTGTTAGAATTTTTGGAACTATTGGAATTGTTGGATCTGCTGGGATTTTTGGAATTGGAATTGTTATAATTGTTGAAGATGTTGAACTTATTGTAATTGTTGGAATTGTTACAATTTTTGTAATTGTTGGAATTGTTACAATTGTTGGAAATGTTGGAATTGTTGGAATTGTTGAAATTGTTGGAATTGTTAGAGTTGTTGGGATTGTTAGAACTGTTGAAATTGTTGGAATTGTTGGAATTGTTGGAATTGTTGGAATTGTTAGAACTGTTGGAATTGTTGGAATTGTTGGAATTGTTGGAATTGTTGGGATTGTTAGAACTGTTGGAGCTGTTGGAATTGTTGGAATTGTTGGGATTGTTAGAACTGTTGTAATTGTTGGAATTTTTGGAATTGTTGGGATTGTTGGAATTGTTGGAATTTGTGGAACTAATGGAATTGTTGGATCTGCTGGGGTTTTTGGAATTGGAATTGTTGTAATTGTTGAAGATGTTGAACTTGTTGTAATTGTTGGAATTGTTACTATTGTTGTAATTGTTGGAATTGTTACAATTGTTGGAAATGTTGGAATTGTTGGTATTGTTGGAATTGTTGGAATTATTGGGATTGTTAGAACTGTTGGAATTGTTGGAATTGTTGGAATTGTTGGAATTGTTGGAACTGTTGGAACTGTTGGAATTGTTGGAATTGTTGGAATTGTTGGAAATGTTGGAATTTGGTGGAATTATTGGAATTGTTGTAATTGTTGGAATTGTTGTAATTGTTGGAATTGTTGGAATTGTTGGAATTGTTGGAATTGTTGGAATTGTCGGAATTGTTGGAGTTCTTCTTTTCCCAGTTCCACTAACCTTCAAAAATCCGAGTAATAAAGTTTCCTCAAGCTCTTCATAGCAGCCGTGGCGTATAGGCTTCGCTGTCAAAAAAGGTTATAAGACCCTACCTGAAATGCTCTTCGGCTCTGTATCAGTCCCTTGCTGAGTCACAGCTCCAATCTCCAGAACCGCAACGTCCGAAACATTTGGTCTCAATGCGGACGTATTGGCCACGCTCATTCTTTCCACTTTTCTCCTGAAAATAGGATCTCTCCATTCCCAGATCGCTATCACGTACATCACAAAGAATATCATAACGATCAGGGCTGCGGTGCAGTACCAAACGTACGCGTCAAAGGGCAATGTGAAGATGTTCGTTACGTAAGAGAGAGGGGGCGCTCTGAAGATGAATTTGAAATAGGTAGGGGTTGAAGCAGGTACGAAATCTACGTAGTCAATGCGGTCTTCTGTGTAGAAGCACTGGGTGCCTGCAATTGAAGAAAATGGCGACAAGTAGGTTAACTCTGCACTTTCCACGAAACGACATCATCAACATGAGCTCATAGATAAAAAAACGAAAGTTAGCCAGAAAATAATAATAATGGTAATTTATTCATCCTGTGCATCCCAAGTCACAATGGAATATGGAATATGGAAAATGGCTTGAAATGACGATATATTAACATTTTGAAACTAAACGATATACTAAAGCAATCAAGAAAGACTATCACGCATTAAAAAATTTTCTATGGAGTAGAAAGCTTTATCCAGTAAAATTTGCCTGATTCTTTTTTTAAATAATGTAATGTCTGGTAGCTCTGGGATCTTAAATGCAATCATTTAATTTCTACATACACTCAAATGATTGCTTTTAGATAAGCTTGTAGACGATGTTATAGCTTGATTTAAAAAAATAATAATTTAGTTCATTGAATTTACTATTTCGTTCTGCAATATCCTGTATTGTACTTTTATCTCCTATGCCAAAACTGACGTTTTTCTTAAATATCTGAAACATCCTTTACCTAATTTTGTTGTAATTTAGCGGTGGTATTTACACCACTAAGGAGCTAATTTAGCCCTAAGTTGATCAAATCCATCAATGTTTATCATATTCTTTGAATTAAGCCAATAGAAGTACAACTTTTTTGTCTCTTGAATGTTTTTCGGATCTTGCTTAGTAGTTAAAAAAAATCCACTTGATTGTATATCTCTGGACCACTCAAGGAATATGGGGAAAAATTTCCTTTGGGAATTATTTTTTTCCTAATTCTTTATTACTAAATCGACGGGTCTCAGCGTTTTTCCAAAAAAAAAACTGAGCTGCCAGTAAATGCGTCTGTTTCGTTTTCGATGCGCCACCCTGTATAGTTAATACTAATGTTATTCAGTATTTGTTATTGTTGCTTCATAACACTGGTCAACAAAATTTTAACTTTGTCGTGCCACACGGACTTTTTTGATATTTTTTACTTTAATTGGTGATTGTAAGAAAAAATAAACAGTTAAAAAAAATTTGCTAGACAAGGATTTTATTCTATTGAGTAATTTAAAATATTAAGAAAAAACACAGATCTCGTAAATCAAAAGTTATTTTTTTTTATAAATGACTTAATAATCTAAGATTCTCTTGAATATTTAGCTTCTGGTTGGTCCCTTTTAATTGTCCAGCAGTAATCTGACATATTTGGGCTCCATTTGCCCTGGTACCGCTTTTCCATATTAGAAATGTCCTGATGGAACCTCTCACCGTGCTCGTCGCTGACAGCCCCTAAATTGTCAGGAAAAAATCCAGGTGCGAGTCTAAAAAATGGATCTTAAGTGACATGTTGCAACCCAATGCTTGATATGACAATAATAGCTCGCTAACCAACTCTCTGTAGCTGTCTCTCTTGTGGTTACCCAAAAAATTTGAAACAACATTTTTAAAAGCCTTCCATGCAGATGTTTCTAAATCGGTTAATTTTTCTTCAAATCTTGAATCTTTTATTAACTCCCTAATTTGAGGGCCAGCAAAAATACCCTCTTTTACCTTTGCATCACTTATTTTAGGGAATTTTTCTTTTAGATACAAAAATCCACTCCCATTGCGATCCATTGCCTTCACAAAATTTTGTATTAATCCTAATTTGATATGCAATGGTGGTAGAAGCACATTATTTGGCTGTACAAGGGGTAAATACTTTACGTTTTTTTGCCCAGGAACTAACGATGCACGCGTAGCCCATGTTTTTTTTATATAGTGATTAGTTCTGTCTCGCTATCCCATTCACATAAAAAGCAGCAAAACTTTGTATAACCCAGCTGAAGTCCAAGTAATAGTGCAACAACTTTAAGATCACCGCAGATTTTGAAGGAATATGTACTGTAATTAATTTTTTCAAGTAAAAGTTTCATATTTTCATAGGTTTCTTTCATGTTTGCAGCATGGGCCAGAGGTACAGACGGGAGCTTATTTACATTATGCAATAACACTGCTTTTAGACTTGCTTTCGAAGAATCAATGAATAAACGCCACTGAGAGAGATCAAAATCTATGTCCAACATTTTCATAATCTCATTTATGTTATTGCAAAACACCAAATCTCCATCCTGAGAAAAATACGTTCTGACGGTTTCGGAAATAGCTAACTTTTGTATTATGATGTAGCAAATTCCATTCTTTTAGACGTGATCCTAATAGTTCTGACTGCTTTTTTGACAAATTTAAATCCCGAACCAAATCATTTAGGTCTCCTTGAGTTATCAAATGTGGCTCGTTTACAATTCCTTTTAACTCAAAGTCATCGTCCTCGTCAACACATTCACCTGAAGTGGACGGTTGTGAATTGTTCTCAACAGGCGTAGTTGCAACTGGTATTAGTTCTGGCAATTTTTTACAATGAGAGACTGGTCTTATAGCCGAAGATAAGTTAGAGTAAATAACTGTGGTTTTTTTCTTGTAATTTATACCTGTTATGTCTGTGAGACAAAACTCGCAATCTGAAACGTGATCTCGCTGTTCAGTCCATATCATGGGTACAGCAAACGGCATAGGTCGTGCACCTTTCGTCCAGTCAGTTAAATTTTTCACACACGTTATGCAACAGACATGAGGGGCCCAGGATTTGTCTTGATGGGCGACAGAAAAACCAAAACATTGGTGATAACACTCCAACACAAGATTCGTAAAATTTCGTCGTTGTTTTTTGAATGTTAGTTCTCCGCAGACATAACAAAAAGAATTAGGATCATTATTACACTTCCACGACATATTCACAGGGTTAATAAATCACAAAAAAGTGTTCAAATTCAACAACAAATATTTTTATAAGGATTTACTTGTAAGCGTTTCGGTTAATTTACTGCCGTAGTACTAGTTTTAGAGTTTTACCGTATCACAACAAATATGAAGCTAATAGACATATGACAGCTGTCATGTAATAATGAGGGTAGACTGATAAAACAAAATTAGCTGTCAAAGTTCGTGTGGCAAAACCAGTGTTGACCAGTGTAATTAGTAATAGAAAAATAATCATTTCCAAAAGACCCATACTCCTTGTGCGGTCCAGGTATATGCAATTAAGTGGACTTGATTTCTCGAAAACTAAGCAAGATTGACCCTATTTTTTTGTTTGCTGACAACTTATCTTTCATTGGCTTTTACCTGCTATCTCTGAAGTTCCGGTTTGCAGATCTCCTAACATTCCAGAGAACATATTCGTGCTTGGATTTAGATACCCCCACGTACTTTTCCATTTAATAAGCGGCCTGATATTAAGCATACGCAATAAATGACCAACTGTGATCCAGTTCGCTTTAGTGAGAGGATCGATATGAATAAATCTGAAAAAATAGTATTTTAGCAATTGTGGCATTCCGATATTTAATCGTTACAACAGAAACCATATCCAAATCCATGATAGAGTGAAACATATAACGTTGCAAAAATCAAATTAATTATTTTTAACTCAGTAGTAACACTTGCAATCCCTTGAATACAACCCTGTCCAATTCTTGGGGTATCATCCACACAGTGCATGACCGAGATTAGAATATGGTTTAAATCTTGCCTGTAATCATCCAAATGTTTCAAAGTCTCATTAGCGGTAGCTACGTAGGTCATATTCAATTCCAAACCCTTCAGATTCGACCTGTCTCTGTAAATCGAAATAGCTTCAAGTTTTATAAATTTTTTAGACGTTAGATTCCATTCTCCAACATCTACTGCTATGATTTCACTATTTTGTGCAAGTTTATAGACAGTTTTGATCATATATTTTTCGAAAAACTGGTGCACGATATATATTTGACTGTCTAGCCTTAAATAAAACCTTTCGAGAGAGGCAGTGTCACTTTCCAAAGCCCAAATGATCCATTTGAAGGGACTCCTAAATAAGTTTTTTGCATCCGCCTGAAAAATAGTTATACAGGGTGGCGCATCGAAAACGAGCTCCCAGTAAATGCGTCTGTTTCGTTTTCGATGGGCCACCCTGTATATCAAATATAAATAATGCTATAGAAAAACGACATACTTAAATATATTCGAAATAGTTAACACAAACATTATTTTGGCCAGCATGCTTAGAAACATCGTAGTAAGTTAGGATTTCTTACGGGATCGTGGTTTAAATCTTTGGATTTATAGTGCTTGCCTCCATATTATTATTATTACCTGGTGAAGTACTTCATGGTAATCGACACATCTCGCATCAAGAAAGTATACCAACGAAGACTCGTCCTCTTGTTTTGGAACGTATACAGGCTGGTCAATTTGGTAAATTTTAGCCGAAAAGTCGGTGGAAACGTTTTTCAAAAATTCCACACGTGCACCTGAAAACAAAGCTATTTTTTTAAAAGAAAACAAAACCCTGGCCTCTATACCCCTTCGGGTGCCTTGTAATCCTCCCAAGAGATAATTTAGGGTTGGAATCATCAATTAAGATGTTAATGATGCTGCAAACACACTCATTGAACGCATAAAATATTTAATTGAATGTAGTACAAACAGAGTTGAAATTAAACATTTTGACAAAAGCAGGAATCCCTGGATAACTAAAGGTTTGATAAAGTCTGCCAGCAAAAAAGAGGAACTGTACAAAATAATGAAAGCATCGCCATGTGCAGATACCTCCCATAAATATAAAGAATATAAAAATATTTTTATCAATCTAGTTAGAGAAGCAAAACGCCAATTCTATCTAAAAAAATTACAAGATGCCAAATCTGATCCAAGAAAACTGTGGTCAGTTGTCGATCACTTAACTAACAAAGACGTTCAAGAAAAGCCAAATATTGATGAAATTAAGAATCGTGATGGAACAATATTAACAGATGAACGACAAATATCCGATGCATTCTTAAATTTTTTCACTAATGTTGGAGAAAATTTAGCATCCAGTATTAAAAAAATGGTTTCGAACGAAAAGTTCACAAAAACCCAACTTCCCAATTCATTCTTTTTAGAAAGCGTTAGTCCGATTGAAGTACAAGAAGGTGTCCTATCACTTAAAACCAAAAAAAGTCCTGGTGTAGATGGTATCAAAGCTGACCATTTAAAAATAATAGCCTACGACATAGCCGAACCACTTTCTTACGTCATTAATTGGTGTTTCCAATCTGGAATTTGTCCTGATGCATTTAAAACAACTGTTATTACTCCTGTTTATAAAAGCGGTGACAGAATGGAAACATCAAATTATAGACCCATATCAGTACTATCGAATATAGCCAAAATTTTCGAAAAATTATTACAAAAAAGGATATTACAATTTTTGGACAAAAACAAAATTATATGTTCTGACCAATATGGATTTAGAAGAGGAAAATCTACTATAGATGCAATTTTGGCTGCAATGGATGAAATTAACTCTAATGTCAACGAAAAGATACCTACTATTGGTATCTTTGTTGATCTAAAAAATGCCTTTGATACGGTTAACCATGTCGAGCTTCTGAAAGTTATGGAAAGATTGGGATTTAGGGGAGCGTGACAAATCCTTTTGAAAAATTACCTTTCAAGTCGGGCACAGACTGTCAAAATCACTAACACTTACAGTAAAAAAATGTACATCAAGTGTGGTGTGCCTCAAGGAACAGTACTAGGCCCACTATTATTTAGTCTCCACTTAAATGACTTATTCAAAATTAACAGTTCTGGAAAGATTATATGCTTTGCAGATGACACCCTCGTATTGTATAAAGCTGATGACTGGAGCACACTGAAGCAAATAGCTGAACAGGATTTTATAAGGATCATTGACTGGTTTGATACTAAAATTTTACCAGTTAACTTCAAAAAAAACAAAATTTATTGCATTTACATCCTATTCAAAAATTTTACCTACCTTCGAACAAATTTCCGTTAATTATCATGGCCAAAAGACCAAAATCGATAGAGTTAACACTTTGAAATATCTTGGAATATTTATAGACCCACATCTAAGGTGGGATAACCATATTAAATATATTATCAAAAAAATTAGAAATGTTGCCTATAAACTCAAAATGCTTGCTAACCACTGATCAACAGCCAAAAAATATCCTAAATAAAATCAACAAAATATTAATATTTTTAATGTGCTTAAACCGGAATGAAACGTATTTTTTTAATATTAGTTCAAGTTTAAGAGATACGGTAATTATATGTGTTCCTGCTGTGACAGTGTTAATATACTGTAATTCACAAGAATGCACGTGCTACATTTTTATATTCGGCAAGGAAAGATGATGTAATCGGCATGATTGTGTTACGTTATACATACGTGTACATTATATTGTTTTATATTAGCCATTTTTTCCTCAGTTGGCTGACAGCGTTCATGCAAGATGTCTCGAAAGTGTGTAAACAATCCAGATCAGTTTTGTTACGTGTGTGGTGATGTGACTTTTGCGTCTCAGAGACGGTCTATTACTCCACTAATAACAAAGGCATATCAGCTTTATTTCGGTTGTAAACTAGTTGATCAAGACAAACAGTGGGCACCCCACATCTACTGTAATACATGTGCTTCAAGTCTGAGGAGCTGGTTAAATGGCAAAAAACGGTCTATGCGCTTTGCTGTCCCAATGGTTTGGAGAGAGCCAACAAATCATATTAATGATTGTTACTTTTGCATGGTACCTTGTGTTGGACAAGCCACAGGTATGTCCAAGAAAAAAAAATCGGTTATTAACTACCCAAACATACCATCTGCGATGAGACCTGTGCCTCACAATGACGAAAATCCTATTCCAAAACCCCCAGAATCCTACACTTGCGAATGAGAAAACGAATCAGATCATGGCGATCGAGTGATTCGTCAGGAAGAAGATATGCCATAAACGTCAAGAGATCCTGATTTTATACCGAGCACGTCATGCCACCAACCGCACAAAATAACACAGTCAGAATTAAATGATCTTGTAAGAGATTTAGAACTTCCAAAATGTAAGGCAGAGTTACTTGGATCAAGACTGCAGCAGTGGAACTTGTTAGAAGACGATGTTTCGGTATCTGTTTTTCGTAAACGCCACAAAGACTTAGAACCATTTTTCAATATGGAGAATAACTTGGTTTTCTGCAGTAACATTAACGGCTTACTGGCGGCTTTAAATATAAACTATAACCCAGAAGAATGGAGATTGTTTATAGACAGTTCAACATTGAGTTTAAAGGCAGTGTTATTGCATATTGGAAATATTTTACCATCTCTTCCTGTAGGGTATGCAGTTCACATGAAAGAATCGTATGACAATATGAAGTACCTATTGACATGCATAATATACGATGAGCACCAATGGCATATTTGTGGCGATTTGAAAGTTGTTGCACTTTTACTTGGGCTGCAGCTAGGCTACACAACGGTTTGCTGTTTTTTGTGTGAATGGGACAGTCGGGCAAAGGCACTTCATTACACCAGACAAAACTGGCCTGTTCGTCAATTCCTAGAGCCAGGTCAAAAAAATGTACAGCATATGCCATTAGTAAATTCGAAAAAAAAATTATTACCACCACTGCATATCAAGTTGGGCCTAATGAAAAACTTTGTCATGTCGTGATAGAGATGGGTCAGCTTTTCAATACTTGCGTCAGAAATTTCCAAGACTAAGTGAGGCAAAGGTTAAAGAAGGTATTTTTGTTGGGTCACAGATTCGAAATATTTTGAAAGATACACAGTTTGAAAACACTTTAACAGGTATTGAAAAAACTGCTTGGAATGATTTCCGTCTGGTGGTCACTAATTTCTTGGGAAATAGAAAAGCTCACAACTATAAAACCCTTGTCAAGAATATGCTGTTATCGTATCAAAAGATGGGCTGTAATATGTCTCGTTAAGATACATTTCCTACACTCACACCTGGACTTTTTTCCTGACAATTGCGGAGCCGTAAGTGATGAGCACGGCGAACGTTTTCATCCGGATATTTCAACAATGGAAAAAAGGTGCCAGGGAAAGTGGAATCCTTCCATGCTTGCAGACTACTGTTGGACTCTTGGTAGAGATGCTCCAGAAACGATCCATAAAAGAACAGCAAAAAGACAGCGCATATAGTGATTCTTATAAGTATATGAATCTTGTTACTTTTTTTAATATATCCTTAAAAATAAAAAGTTTTTTTTCTAAACCGCAACTAATTTTTTATTTCATTGTCATTTTTGGATTCAGCGCCCCAAAATTAACAAAGAAGTGCAGTTTTCCCACAAGATACAATTAAAAAACTAAAATTTGTTGTCCAGTGCATTCTTACAGAAAGTTATCTGCGAATCCTATACCATGCCTTAGTTGAAACCCATATAATATACGGCATCACAGCCTGGGGTGCCGCCTGCAAGAAATATATTTCTGACCTGAATATAGCACAAAAAAATGTTTTGAAAGCCATTTTCCATAAGCCAAGATTATACCCAACGAACAACTTATATCAAGAAACAGGGATACTTGATACAAGACAACTTTATTTCTTACATACCACCACCTTATACCATAAGTATTGTAATAAAAAGAAAAAATCCTATAAACACGAGAATAACACACGATTTCGAATAGGCTCATCTAATATCCAAAGACCACACAAAACATTATTCAAAAAATCATTTAAATTCTTAGCAGCTAAATTATATAATGTAAAATTTAGAAGAAAATTGAAAGACTGGGTTAGTAATGTGCAGCGAATGACTATACACAATTATATAGAAAACTAAAACTACAAAATTCCAATTACATTAATATATATTAGATTTAACAATAATTGTTATACACATATATGATTGATTGTTAGTTATTAAGATATAAACCACACACAGGCGATGCCTTCTGTGGTTTTTTCATATTTATTTGCTCATTTTTTGTATTTTGGCGAATAAATATTATTATTATTATTATTATTCTTAAGCAAGCTTGTTTTGGCATTGTTCAATTAAAATTAGAGGGTATGCATTTGAAAAAAGAACTTTCAGATTCGCCATCTACCGGGTGACTTCGAAGTTGAGTCATTTATTTTAACAGTGAGTAGATCTGATCAAAAGAAATGTTTTTTTCCTTTACCATTTTTCTGGTAAAATTAAAGTAACAAAGTTATAGCCCTTTGGAAGTTTGAGTACCGCCCTGTCTCAATAATAGTATTATGTGCTCGTGTTTGGCAACAACGGATATAATCCGCCTTATCGGTTCATCGCATCGGAAACAAAAAAGCGAAAGAATTTGGAACGATGTTTTTACAATTATTTTATTCAGTTGTATACAGTCAGTGTCAGTCGGTAACGCGTGAGTGAATAGTGGTGTCTGTTGCGTGGCTCAAACGAAATAAAAAATGGCACATGTTTATGCGGATCGGTTTCCCAATCGAGTGCAACCAACCCCTCGTGCCTTTGTTAATGTAGTACAACGGGCTCGTGAATCAGGTGACTTAAGACCTCACAGGGGACGGCATGCCGGTGCTCCAAGACCTCACGATCAAATACAGGTCCGCACTGAAATACTTGTCGGGAGGATACTTTATAAAACAAGGTAAAATTTTTTTCTTATTTTTTTTTTATTTTTACACACATATTTTGGTTTATCTTCCTTCTACAATCATTATCTGAAAATTAATGACTCAACTTCAAAGTACATCTATGAAACAAACGACTATCCGATAATTTCAAGGCCTTCCTAGAAAAATCTGTCTTTTTGAATAACTAAGATTGGAATAAGATTAAGAACTCTATTCACCTGTTCGAAAATCCAATACGACGTCTTTAAAAAAATATTGTTAATGCCTCACGAAACGTCATATTGAAATTCTAATTAAGCCATCTTGTAGAGGAGAAAAAGTGCCAATGTTGACGAGCAATTTATTTCAAAACCCCGAAAAAAATAAAGTCAGGAAAAAATTCAAACGATTTTGGAAAAAAGCGACATTTTCTCAGTTACCTGAATACGCAAGTTTGCCCCTTTTAGGCGACATCGTATCCCAAGGTCGAAAATGAAACACGTGGTATCTAACCTAGTGCTTACACTGAGCCACAATGAAATTTCACGGAATGCAAATCCATTAAGACCAGCGATTTATTTTCGATGAGATTTCCGTCTCAGGACGCTTTCCTCTAACAGTTTCGCCTCACCTTTTTCCCAGCAGACGTAAACAGCCAACTTGACAGTAACATTTTGCTCGCCGAAAAAACCTCTCAGAAACGTCGCGATGTCCGTAATGTCTGCTTCTTTGTCGAAGCCAAACGCGACAGTAAAAGGCATCGCGAGAAGGAGAAACAAAAGACGGCGCCCCATTTCTGCCAGGGAAAGCAAGCAAGCCGCGCGCTTTTGTGCAATCGCACAGATGAATTTTTAAGTCGACGCGATTCGGTAAATAGCAGATTCGCTTGTTTCGATGAATTCGGCATGGTGGGAAGGAAAAACTATAATTTTCCAACCATGGGCGTATCTGAATTACTTTATCTACAACGTTTAAGATAGCAGGTAAGTTTTCTAAGTCAACAAAGCGATTCTAAGAAGTTGTGGGCAGAGGTAAAAAGCATGCAAGTGCAGGCACCAGGAAAAACAACTGAACCTGGCTATCTTCAAAACTACTGAACTGAAGAACATTAATTTTATATCACAAAGGGAATTGAAAGACCTTTAAAATAAGGTATCACTCGACCCCCCTTTCCATTTAAGATTTTTGGGTTGGTGTCACCCCCGCCCAGGGGGCTGCACGGGTTAACGTGATTTTTTGCCAAACTTGTGTCCCCGTCGAAAACAAAATCGACGGGTCTGCCAAAAAAAAAACTGAGCTGCCAGTAAATGCGTCTGTTTCGTTTTCGATGCGCCACCCTGTATAATGAGGAGGAACAGTAGTTAAAGTGAGGCATGACTATTGTTTTATATATAAGTAGCGACGCCCATGAACTAAGGTCCTTTGTTACCCTACACATTAAATTAACTTTTTTAGAAACTTTTTTTTATAATATACTAAGTGACATATAAATCCGAACACCCAGTTTAAATGGTTTTATTTTAATAAAATTTTGTATAAGTACTTAATGAAGTATAATAAGTAAATGATAAAAATTTCAAAATGATTGCACTGCTTTAAAGCCCTTTGACCTTTAATAATGTGTGGATGCACCCTGATGTGCTACGCATTCTCCAACACGCTTAGGCATGCTTCTGATCAGGTGGTCAATGTCCTCCTGTGGTATCTCATTCCAGGCAACCACCAACTCCTCTTGAAGTGCTTCTAGAGTCTGAGGAGGACGTTGCAAATTGAGCAATCTCCTACCCATCATATCCCACACGTGCTCAATTGGGGATAAGTCGGGAGATTTTGGTGGCCATGGTAACAATGTGACATCATTATGTTGAAAGAAGTCTATTGTGACTCTTGCAACATGTGGTCGGGCATTATCTTGTTGGAAAGTTGGATCTGCCAGGGTGTCAAGACAGCGTAAAAGATGGGGTTCTAGAACTTCGTGGATATAACGCTGCGCGTTCATGTTACCTCTGATGAAGATTAAAGGTGACCTGGAACCATAAGCTATAGCACCCCAAACCATAACTCCAACAGTATGATGAACATGTCTTTCAACAAAAAACTGTGGATTCCTCCTTTCACCACGACGCCTTCTAACCCTGGCACGACCATCGTGCATGCCTAAACAAAATCGAGACTCGTCACTAAAGACAATACTGTTCCATTCCTGATCCCAGAGTGACCGCTGTCTGCACCACTCAAGGCGATTACGTCGGTGTTCTCGAGTTAAAGGGAGGACCCAGTGTGGCCGGTATGAAAACAAGCCAAAACTTCTCATTCGTCGGTAAACACTTCGCATGCCAATAGGTCTTCCGTGTTCTGCAAACCATTCATTTGCAATGGACCTGGTAGTGGAGAAACGGTCCCTTAAGGCCAATAATCTTAGGCGGCGATCTTCACGGTCTGTTGTTCTACGGCGGCGTCCAGTGCCCCTTGCTCTTTGTGTACGGCCTTCTCGAAGCCATGCCTGACGACACCTAACCACAGTGTCTACACTTCTTTGCACTCTAACTGCAGTTGCCCGAAAAGAAAGTCCAGCTTCCCGAAGTCCCACTATACGGCCCCTATCAAACTCACTAAGTTGACGAAATCGTACAGGTCTCCGTACTCTAGGCATCGTAACCGATCGTAAAGGATGTCAAGAACCAAAATCCGCCAACGTTGATTCTTTACTGCGGAAGAAATATTCATTTTTAGAGCGTTAGTGAATTAAAAAAAAAAGCAGTATAAAAACCGGAATTTTTTCACTTGTTATTTACAATAAGATAAATACATTCACCAACTTTTATTAAAATAAAACCATTTAAACTGGGTGTTCGGATTTATATGTCACTTAGTATACTTGTTAATCTGTTCAATATTATTATTTTCAATCATAAATCCGTCGTGCAGATAAGTATCCTGAACATTAAATTTAGATTTCAGTATCACACACTTAATCTTGTCAACATTAATACTAAGACTATTGTTCCCTAACCAGGCATATCATGTGTTTAAGTCTTCATTAGTTATCTAGAAAATAGTTCTCAATGTGTTTCTGTAAGAATATCCAAAACCTCAAATTATCAGTTAAAACTACTTCTGGTGTACCACAGGGTTCTATTCTTGGGCCGCTACGTATTGTTTCATATACTAAGTGACATATAAATCCGAACACCCAGTTTAAATGGTTTTATTTTAATAATAGTTGGTGAATGTATTTATCTTACTGTAAATAACAAGTGAAAAATTTTCAGCCTTATCAGTTGGACATTCCGGTTTTTATACTGCTTTTTTTTAATTCACTAACGCTCTAAAAATGAATATTTCAGCCGCAGTAAAGAATCAACGTTGGCGGATTTTGGTTCTTGACATCCTTTACGATCGGTTACGATGCCTAGAGTACGGAGACTTGTACGATTTCGTCAACTTAGTGAGTTTGATAGGGGCCGTATAGTGAGACTTCGGGAAGCTGGACTTTCTTTTCGGGCAATTGCAGTTAGAGTGCAAAGAAGTGTAGACACTGTGGTTAGGTGTCGTCAGGCATGGCTTCGAGAAGGCCGTACGCAAAGAGCAAGGGGCACTGGACGCCGCCGTAGAACAACAGACCGTGAAAATCGCCGCCTAAGATTATTGGCCTTAAGGGACCGTTTCTCCACTACCAGGTCCATTGCAAATGAATGGTTTGCAGAACACGGAAGACCTATTGGCATGCGAAGTGTTTACCGACGAATGAGAAGTTTTGGCTTGTTTTCATACCGGCCACACTGGGTCCTCCCTTTAACTCGAGAACACCGACGTAATCGCCTTGCGTGGTGCAGACAACGGTCACCCTAGGATCAGGAATGGAACAGTATTGTCTTTAGTGACGAGTCTCGATTTTGTTTAGGCATGCACGATGGTCGTGCCAGGGTTAAAAGGCGACGTGGTGAAAGGAGGAATCCACAGTTTTTTGTTGAAAGACATGTTCATCACACTGTTGGAGTTATGGTTTGGGGTGCTATAGCTTATGGTTCCAGGTCACCTTTAATCTTCATCAGAGGTAACATGAACGCGCAGCGTTATATCCACGAAGTTCTAGAACCCCATCTTTTACCCTATCTTGACACCCTGGCAGATCCAACTTTCCAACAAGATAATGTCCGACCACATATTGCAAGAGTCACAATAGACTTCTTTCAACATAATGATGTCACATTGTTACCATGGCCACCAAGATCTCCCGACTTATCCCCAATTGAGCACGTGTGGGATATGATGGGTAGGAGATTGCTCAATTTGCAACGTCCTCCTCAGACTCTAGAAGCACTTCGAGAGGAGTTGGTGGTTGCCTGGAATGAGATACCACAGGAGGACATTGACCACCTGATCAGAAGCATGCCTAGGCGCGTTGGAGAATGCGTAGCACATCAGGGTGCATCCACACATTATTAAAGGTCAAAGGGCTTTAAAGCAGTGCAATCATTTTGAAATTTTTATCATTTATTTATTATGCTTCATTAAGTACTTATACAAAGTTTTATTAAAATAATACCATTTAAACTGGATGTTGGGATTTATATGTCACTTAGTATATTTTGCGAAATTTTGAGTTAATATTTTAATCACTTTCTATTTAGCAGTAGACCCAACACTTGTAGAAGTATGCTCAAAATTACAGCACTCCTAGTCGGTGAGCATTTTCTATGTCGTTTACTACATTAATATGTATAAATATCCGAAATTGCTGCAAACAAGTAATATTCAATATTAATCTGCTTGTTCAGCCTGAATATTGTCTTTTAAGAACTCGCCTGCTGCTACAAAATTCATAAGCACGCTTTTGACCCGTCCCTTGATGCTTGAATTATTACTGGATCGTTGTTCCATTCATTCCTCGAAATGAAATGTTGCAAAAAATTCGCTGCGCGACAATTTCCATGAATTTTAAAGAAACGAGGGTAAATTACGTGCTCAGGTGTAGCGGTGAATAGTTTTAACAAATTATCGTTCAGGAAAAATGTCGTTTTACTTTCAAGGCTGCTGAAAATTGCAATTACACCCTTTGGCATGAACGTTTCCTGCTAAATAAGCCATCTGAGGTAGCTTATTTTTAAATTATACGTATTCAGCGACAGCTGCTTTTGTATGTATTAGGAGCAGTGGCGTTGCATTTAGCTTTATTTTTGCTAGTATCACAGATGAAAAAAATAGCGTCACTTAGGTTGACCTTGCAGTTCCTGCTTAGTCATCATTTTATGGCGAAAATACGTTCAGCACCTTTGAGAAAAAAAATTAGCTACGAACATGTACAATAGAAGCATTAAACTGATGAGGCCCAAAGTCGTTGTTTCCCAGCCCTGCCGGTAGTTAACGTCTATTTGACAACGTCGCTTCTTCTCATATCCTCAGACAAGGCAGCGCCCACCGCAGGCCTTTTCCCCAAAATTTGTGGATTTTTATTTCCCTTGGTGAGCTTTTGGGGTATAATGTTCTGAAAGATTTTTTGTAGGATAAATAAAATCGTTGGGTATTTTTGGGATATTTTGTTCCCCAAGCATGAAGACTAGATATAGGAGGATAAGCCCATGAGTAAAGCCAAAAGTGTCAAGAATGACTGTAGTCATTAGGGGCCGTTCAAGTATTACGTAAGCAGATCTATTACAATTATTTACCCCCATCCCCCTTGTCAGCAAAAGTAAGCAAAGCTCTTACCCCCTCCCCCCAAGCTTACGTAAACATTTCTCAATTAATGCATTGTTTTTTTTAATATTATAATTATAACGTTATAATTATAATTTGAAAAATATGAAAATAGATTTAGGATAGAGATTATATTTTACTGAT